TTTATTTTACTTGTTTATTTATTTGGCTGCACTGGGTCTTAGTTGCAGCACGTGGGATCTTTGTTGGTGTCTGCAAGATGTTTTTTGCAGCATGCAAGATCTTTCATGGCAGCATGGTGTTCCAGTGGCTAAGTCTCTGCACACCCAATGCAGGGGGCCAGGGTTCAGTCCTTGGTCAGAGAACTAAATCCCACATGCCGCAACTAAAGATCCCTCATGTCACAGCTAAGGCATTTCCTTTCAATTGTGTGGTTTGTACACTCATCTGGGAAAGACTGCAATTTTCTGGGCATGCGCGGGAGGTGAGGGAAGGTAGAAGAGGGGTGGAGGAGGGAAAAAAACCCAGCAGATGAGGAGTCAGCTCTGTGCCTGCACCTGTTAGGTCTTTTCACACAGTTTAGTTCATGTCCTCACCATCCGTCGTCCCAGGCGGCACCAGTAGTAAAGAACCCACCTGCCATGCAGGAGGCGTAGGAGACACAGGTTCGATTCCTGGGTCAGGAAGATCCCCTGGAGGAGGCATTGGCAACCCACTCCGGTAATCTTGCCTGGAGAATCCCATGGACAGAGGAGCCTGGTGAGCCACAGTCCATGGGATCACAAAAAGCTGGACACAACTGAAGGGACAGCACACTCCTTGCAATCATTGTCTGAGGTAGGTATCCTTATCATCCCCATACGATGGATGAGAAAATCAAGGCTGAGAGAGGCCATGTGCCACAAGGAAGACTGAAGATTTCCATGTGCCACAACAAAGACCTGGTACAGCCAACTAGATAAATAATAGTTTTCTTAAAAAGCCAATGCTTTTAACCAGTCCTAATGTCCTTCACTTAACTTCTTCAAGCCTCTGGGTTCTCACTCAGGAAAAGAGCTTAGCCTTGCTTTTGCCTTTGTACCCCTTATAGTTCATTCTCCACACAGTGACTGGAAAAACATTATACCATTTAAGACAAGGCTCATATGCCAGAAGGAGAGATATGAAATAAATATCTGGAGGTTGTCTATTGGGCAAATATGAGTCAGCTCCACTATGTCCTTAAAAACTTAAACTTCTTCCCACTCACCACTCTCCCATCTGGTGAGGGGTGGGGGGTGGCCCTTGTCCTCACAGTCCAATGCAGCTATTAGAGCTCAACCATCACATCTGCCTGAGGCAGAGAGAAAAAAGAAAAGGGTCATAAGGTATAAATTGCCTGTCTTCTTGGCATGATTTTTTGAAATACCTTGTGATACATTTGCATACCACCTATAGACTTAGTCATATGGCTATACCTACCTGCAAGGAAAGCTGAGAAATACAGCCTTTATTCTGGGATGCCATACAGCCTGCTAGAAATTTGTGCTTTCCACTATAATGCAAGAAAAAGGGAATGGATACTGGGCAGTTCACAGTCTCAGAGTAAGCCTTTCGATATGTAAGTCAAGTCATGTTACTCCGCTTAAAATGGTGGAAAGACTTCCCACTCACTCAGGCTATAAACTCAAGCTTTTGCAGTGTCCAGTAGGGCCTTACATGTCTTGTCCCTGTTACGTCTCCAACCTCATTTCCTACGGCTCTCTGCCTTGCTTGCGTTGCTACAGCCACACTGGCCCCCTTGCTGATTTTCTAACAAGCCAAGCACATTCCTGTCTAAATGTTTCTTCTGAGCCCTGGGCCCCTCTTCCCCCAGGCATGTGCTCATCTCAGCCCTCAGTTCCTGAGGTCATGCTCAAATATCCCTTGAGCCGGGACCACCCTTTAGGAAACAGTATACCCCTCCTAGGTGACTTCTCCCTTATTTGCCTTACTTTTGTTTTCAGCTTTTACCCCCATCTATCCCATCATCTGATATATTCTATATTTGTTCACATTTGCTTATTATCTTTTTCTCTTCTCTTTTCTCAGAAGCTCAATGGGATCTGGAACTTGATGTGTGGTAGTCAATGCTTTCTATCTTCCAGACCTGGAACAGTGCCAGGCATCCACTGTAGACATCCAATAAACCTGAGTTGAATAGATGAATGATTGATTGAATAAATCCTGCTTTATTCATCTTCCAAAATTTAGAAGAGGATGAATTGAGGTATCCAATCTAAAAGGGCTTTGAAAATAGAAAGAGGCAAATATAAATTAGTACTGTGCTTCTCTTTGATGTCCTCCCATTCGTAAAAGCACTCTGTTGACTGTGAAGATTAACGCAAACGCTGTTGGCAATTATTCTGAAGTAAGGCACAGTGGGATAGGATTTCCAGTCATTTCTTCCCAAAGCACCAGACCTATTTATTCTAAATCCATTTCTTCCCTGCCTTTAGTTTTGAATGAACATGGCTTTGCTGCACATAGTTGCCTAATATATCACTTTGATGGTTTATTTCACCTTAAGTAGCATGGAATTGAAGTCTGAGACTGTATCAGGCTGATTCCAGGTCTCCTCTGCTCCCCTTTGTGCCACCACAGCGGGGGAGAGTTGTCAAGCTGTGCTTGGCCAAGTTAAATGAGGAGACCAGATGGTCAGAAAGAAAGGAATTTTGGTCAAGGTTGAGGAGGAGAGAAGCTGACAGCATAACTTCTGCATAGTTTTTGACCAAGAGATCGGAATACTCAGCACTGGGGGTGCGTCGCTGCAAATGTCTGTGAGACACGAGTTCTCTTTCATGTTAATCTCCTAGGACTTTCTGCCAACACTTCAAAATCATCCTGCAGTGCTTGGGGTTTGGTTCTCTGTTGATTTTAGTTTCTAGAGAAAAGAGAAATTGATTTATGTTAAACACAACAAAAAGGAAAAGCAAAATGGAAGGTAAAGCAGTCCCTTTACGCTTTGACATTTAACACGCAATTTTAGGAAGAAAAGCAAGCAAAATCCAAGGTTTGGAGAGAATGGAAGATAGGAAACATTTGAGTGATGTGCAACGCAGTGAAAGAAGATCTCTAGTCCACTCAACAGAGAAGGCAGGTTGAACTGAGAAGTGGCATCCTGAGTTGTCTGGCACCAAAGTGGGGTTGGGAGGCAAGAGATAGAAAGTCAAGCAGTAGGAGGTGGCAGAGATCCAGGCAGGAACCAGGCTGAGTGTGAACAAGTGTCTTCGTGGTGGGGCAGATGGAAAAAGAGGCGTTAGAGACACACCGCTGAGAAAGGAAGAGCCTGACTCCTTGATGTCCTTTGACCAAGTACTTACTGTCTCTGGCTTTCAGAGTGCCCTTTTTATTGTGCTTACTGCTCTACTCAAAATAAAATGCCAGGGTCTTTGCCCTTTGACCTCACAGCTTAAATGTTCCCTAAAAGGCATAAGCGTGGGACACAGTCCCGGAAGAACTGGGGCACCAGCATTGCCCAGGCTAGCTGAACTTGCCCAGTTTTCATGCAGATTGTCTCTGGCAGGCCAGGATGACCTAGGAACCATGTGGCACGTTTATAACTGGGATTGTCTACCACTTTCATGTTGGCCGTCTCGTTTGAGCTTGACAACAACCTTAAGGCTTACATAATAAATGAATCATGGCCACCTTTGCCGAGATGAGAGGACAGATGGTTGGGGGTCTGAATGGCTTGCCCACGGAATCGTGAGCAAGGGAATCATGAAACTGGGAGTAGAGCATGGTCCTCTGACTCCTAATGTGTTCCCTTTCACCGCGTTATTTATGGGAGCTAGTTAGCAATGCTGACTGTGTCTTCACTTTGCTAGAGGCTGTGGGGAGAGGCCAAAAAACAAACCAGATGTGACTCTTCTCCTTGGGACTCTCCTGATCTGAAGCAGAAGACAGGATGAAGGCAGATAAATGAATCCATGTACACATGCTCCCACAAGTGTACGTCTAACTAGATGTTCAGACATATTCATGCATCCTAAGGGTGTCGTTGGAAGCTTCTGGAAGTAAATCTCTGGAGATCTGAAGAAACTCAGAACACTGACTCATTGGCTTGGCTGTGAGACTATTCCAGATATTGGCAGCTATGTAAGTGGGGGCTCAGAATTAGGGCCAAAAGATGCATTTGACAGGAGGGAAGGGATTTGGGGTTAAGATCTAAACAGTTCTCAGGCAGCAAAGAAATTTAACAGCCTCAGCGAACTTCCCTGTGGTGACTTCTCTGCATAGATAGTAGGACTTTTCACATTCATAACTGGAGAGAAAGAGAGATGCCTGGAAAAATTTACCTCATTGTCATTTGGATTCCCTTTCAGAGCTTTCTTGGTGTGGCGTATGCCAGACTTTGGATGGTTGGTGCTTTTGGCAGTACAAATGTCATCTTGGTCTAGACCATCCCCTAAACTTAAAGATGCTGAGTAGGAGAAGAGGAGGTGGAAATCTGACCCTGAGATGAAGGGTTCACCCTTGGGCCAGCCCTATCTCTTGGCCTTGACATTGACATTGAAGTCGCTCAGTTGTGTCTGACTCTTTGCGACCCCATGGACTGTAGCCTACCAGGCTCCTCTGTCCATGGAGTTTTCCAGGCAAGAGTACTGGAGTGGGTTGCCATTTCCTTCTCCAGGAGGTCTTCCTGACCCAGGGATCGAACCTGGATCTCCCACATCATAGGCAGACGCTTTACCATCTTAGCCACCAGGGAAGTCCGTCTCTTGGCCTGGCCATGCTCAAATTACCGGCCCAGAAAGCGTCAGTGGGCGGAAACCACAAGCCCCATCTTTTCATGACACTGTGACCTCATTATCTGGTGAGAACATCTGATTTCTTTTGGGGGAACCATCCTTCTCCCAAGGTATAGAAGCCTGAAACTTTCAGCAGAACCAATTGCTGTCTCCCTGGATTGGAGTCTTGAGCAGAGTGACACGTGAGACAGGAGCCAGGCAGTCAAGAAGACAGCAGTTCTCTGCAGAGGCCTCCCATTTGTGTCTGTCAGATCCCTCACTGCCTCTTCTCCATCTTTCTCTTCTGTTCTCTGAATGGCTTCTTAGCCTCCCCCTGAATTCCTCTTTTACTTTGGATGACATTTGTCACCTTCAGTCAATGAACCCAAGGAATGGATTTGCCCCAAGTGAGGTCTTATGCTTTCTTTAAGGTACTCAGGATGTGTCTGCTTCTGTCTGTCCTCCAGCCCACCTGCCTAAGAAGACTTCTTGGGGGATAGGACTCCTTCATGTGAGCCAGAGTCCTGTGGCCTGTGTGACACCAAGGGGTTGAAGCAATCAGTTGGGTAACAGTATGATGCAAGTTTCTGTTTCAGAAAAATGACTAAGATCTCCAGGTCATTCTGTAAGTATGACACTAATTGTAAGGTTAAATCTTGGCAGTAAACTTATACGTTCAAGACCATTTCCAGCTATGCAAAGAATTTCTATTTCCTCATGTTAAAAGCCAGAGCAGTAAAATATATCCTCAATGTCACTATTACAACATTTACATCCTGGAAACATAATAAATGATCAATACAGTAATGGAATGCCTGGAAATATCCATTTTTAATGGCAAATAGACTTTGGTACCTATAAAGTCTTTGCTAAGAATGTTAGCTTTTGATCTCTATCATGGGGAACCCAAGTTCTCTGACAGCAATTGGTAAAACATTCCACAAAAAGGTTGATAATACTTTACTACAGAACTAAAAGGTGGCCAGGGATGCAGGGGAGTTTTACAGCTCTTGAATTGCATGAAGACCCACTGTAATTCCAGTGTAGTCTGGAGCAAGGTGTAATCGGAGTGCTGCAGACAGGTGTGGGCAGGGCTGCCATGGGTATGACAGAGAAAGCCTTCAGATTCAGGTGGCCCTGGATTCACCTTTCATTTCTGTGTCCCCTTTGGGTTCAGTTCCAGCGTCCTGGCTTTGAAGTGCTCAGCTTCACCACCATATCTCATGTCTGTCAGCATACACGGGGCATGAATGGCATGTTTTAATATACCCAAAAATGCCAGTGAGAAGGCAAATGCCAGTGGGAGATGAACAGTAATAGAAAATTTTAGTGAAAATAATAATGTTTGCAAGAACTGATACTTTTTTTAATGCAAGACTGGAGGCATCAGTCTATTTCTAGCTATCCTTGTCAACCAGCTTGTCGTCTTTGCTTTGCATCCAGCTCATACTTCTGATTGCTGGCCTGGTGACCAGTGCTCATCTCTGGGCACAGAGATTTTGTAGGTCAAGGTCATGGACTTCCTATAGACTCCTATGAGAGTTGCCCTTTTGCAGGCTACTCCCAAGGCTGGATCCTGGCTCCTCACGGCTCCCTGCACATGCCAGCTTGTTCTCCTTCACCTGGGCTTCAGGAGGTCTGGTTCATAGCTCCTTCTTTGATCCTTTTATTTCTCTTTTCATCCCTTCTGTTTCCCAGCTTCTCTGACACTTGTGAAAGATCTGACTCCCATAATGAACTCCTTATTCCTCTAATATTAAATGTTACTGTGCATCCCTAATTGAGCCCTGGCACAATCTGCAATCTAGATGGAGTCACAAATATTGCTTCCATGAAAGCAGTCATCTCCCAACACAAGGAGAATAGTGAGCCTCCCAGGTTAGTAGTGGTAAGGCAATGGGGGTTAGACATGGGGGAGCATGAGAGCACAGGAAAGCTGGGACCCGCTAAGGACGCTTCATCTCTCCAGTACTGTATCTGAGGACGCTCTGCATGTCTGCTGAGAGCAATGGCCACTGCTTTACTTCCATCTTCCAAATATTGAACAGGCTCCTCTTTCAGCCTACTCTAACCTGGAACTATGCAGAATAGGGAGAGAAAGAGAAGGAAACTTTTCAAAGCGTTTCCAGCTTAAGTAAGTTGACAATGGAATGATTCCAAACAGTGCAACCCTTATCAACTTAGTACATCTTTCTTTTTTTCTGTATTTAACTTTCAAATAAAGACAATACAAGATCATGCTATTAGCAATACAACAGTTTTTCATACAAATGAAAACAGGCTAACTTTCTCCAAATCAGTGTACATTTATTCATCTCTGGGTTACATTTATTTTCACTACTAGCTGAATCATCCTTCTCTTAAATATCTTGTAACTTAAATGTCAAGATATAAAGGTTTACCTCTTTCACCACAGCTTTTGTTACAGAGTGAATGAATAGGATAAGGGGAAAAAGAAAGACAAAGAATATATAAAATGTATATATAAATATAAATATAAATATAAATATATATATATATATATAAAGACCCTGATGTTGGGAAAGATTGAAGGCAGGAGGAGAAGGGGACAACAGAAGATGAGATAGTTGGATGTCATCACCAACTTGATGGACATGAGTTTGAGCAAGCTCTGGGAGTTGGTGATGGACAGGGAAGCTTGGCGTGCTGTAGTCCATGGGGTCACAAAGAGTTGGACATGACTGGGCGGCTGACTGAACTGAGTTTATATATATGTATGTGTGGGTATATATAGCCACACATACAACCATATAAATAGGTATTTATATACATATATGATACAAACATATCAAAGAAAAGAAGAAATGGTTCATAACTATTATAGCCATCATTTCTGCAACTGGTCATGTTATCCTTTCTCGTATTTATACTTTCTTCCTTCTATTATCCTTTCTACATTTGCTTTGCCCTCCTAAAGTCCTACAACTGATCATAGTTCTTGGTCTGATGGAATCATCCAAACTCTAATTCTACTACTAGTAGCCTTGTCTTCATTGAGTTGTAGTGTTCCATTAATTTTAATCACAGGGCACGGTATTGCTAAGTGATGCCCCAACATCTGCCTGCGATCCAGACATTCTCTTCTCTTCCCGCAGTGTGTCATAGCAATTCCATTTCTCCCGGAGAAAGTCAATCACCCTGGCCAGTATGGTAGCCCCCTTCTTTGCCTGTTGGTTCCCTAGTATGAGTTTTTCAAAGTGGACTTGTAACAGTCTTAGTTTATAACTAATAGAATTACTTCTAGTTCCTGGTAGACAATCCCCCATTCAGTTCAGTTCAGTCACTCAGTCGTGTCTGACTCTTTGCGACCCCATGAATCGCAGCACACCAGGCCTCCCTGTCCATCACCAACTCCCAGAGTTTACTCAAACTCATGTCCATTGAGTCGGTGATGCCATCCAACCATCTCATCCTCTGTCGTCCCCTTCTCCTCCTGCCTCCAATCCCTCCCAGCATCAGGGTCTTTTCCAATGAGTCAACTCTTTGCATGAGGTGGCCAAAGTATTGGAGTTTCAGCTTCAGCAACAGTCCTTCCAATGAACACCCAGAACTGATCTCCTTTAGGATGGACTGGTTGGATCTCCTTGCAGTCCAAGGGACTCTCGAGAGTCTTCTCCAACACCACAATTCAAAAGCATCAATTTTTTGGCACTCAGCTTTCGTCACAGTCCAACTCTCACATCCATACAGGACCACTGGAAAAACCATAGCCTTGACTAGATGGACCTTTGTTGACAAAGTAACGTCTCTTCTTTTTAATATGCTGCGTAGGTTGGTCACAATTTTCCCTCCAAGGAGTCTAAAACCTGCACATATTTAAGCAAATCAACACATATCTTCTTGACCTCTTCTTTTGAGCAACTTCTAAGCTCTCTCCAAGACATGAGACTTGAATTCAAAGCCTATTTGATCTTTACTCCCAAAATTCCTCTTGGGGAAACCGGAATCAAAAAAGACACAAGTACCCCAATGTACATTGCAGCACTATTTACAATAGCTAGTGCATGGAAGCAACCTAGATGTCTGTCGGCAGATGAATAGATAAGGAAGTTGTGGCACAAATACACAATGGAATATTACTTAGCTATAGAAAGGAATGCATTTGAGTCAGTTCTAATGAGGTGGATGAACGTAGAGCCTATTATACAGAGTGAAGTAAGTGAGAAAGAGAGACAAATGTCATATATCAATGCATATGTTAGAATCTAGAAATACGGTACCAACAATCCTACGTGCAGGGCAGCAAAGGAGACACAGACAGAAAGAACAGAATTTTGAACTCAATGGGGGGAGAGGGTGGGAAGATTTGAGAGAATAGCATTGAAACTTATACATTACCGTATGGAAAATAGATAACCAGTGGGAGTTTGATGTATGATGCAAGGCACCCAAAGCCAGCGCTCTGTCACAATGTGGAGGGATGGAGTGGGGAGGGAAGTGGGCGGGGGGCTCGGGATGGAGGGGACACACATGCCTGTGACCAATTCATGTTGATGTTTGGCAAAAGCCATCACAATATTGTAAGGTAAATATCCTCCAGTTAAATAAATACATTTTAAAAAGAGAAAAAAAATGTTCCTCTTGGAAAGTGCAGAAAGAAAAAGAAGGAAGAGGAGAAGAAGGAGAAAGAGGCAGAAACAAGATATTCTCTTTTTCAGGAAAGCTAGGTTTTTCTGGAGAGGATTTTATCAAAGTTGTTTCTCGTCGTTGACCCTAAAGCCATGACCATATGTGCTGCATATGGATCTAAAGCTCTGTTTTCTGGTTTGACATATCATTAAAAAAATTAGTATGAAAAATCTGTCTTTAAGAGCAGTGAGATCATGTGGTTCTTGGGACCTGGAGCTGTGCTAATTCAGAAACATGTAATAATTCTGGAAACAAAAAAGAAAAACTACTTTCCAACCCTGTGCCGGGCTTTTTAAGTTTTAATCATTTTTATGAGGCTAAAAATAACAAAAAGTATAGTTTGACAAAATATTGAACCCTTAGTTCAAGACAGAAATTGGTAGGGTGGGGGAAAGACTTGCATTGGCCTCGTTTTAACCTATAAATCAAGAGAAATCAACAGAGAATTTAAACCAAACATGTGCTGCACATAGTTTCCACTGGCCTTGTGTTACCAAGGTTAGAATTATGGTTGGGTTCACAGTGAGAAAGTGAAAAATTGATGACATCTGCCCTCTGAGGTCTTTTTTGTTTCCCTGGCAGCTACTGCAGAGGCCTTGGCATTCTGTGATGAAAACTTCAGATGTATGATGGGAGATGTCATATGGGGGTGAACAGTTTGAACCCAGAACTCTGTCCTTGTTCCCAGGACTCTTGTAAAGCACTTTCCTCCCTTTCTTCTTGCTACTGACAAGATCAGACACCCTGGATATTCTGTGCTGTACTGTCCCGAATGATGGAATCTCACTAAGATGGTGGAAGGCCTAAGAGTTACATCAGATCAATGAAAACCAGGGCATCTTTACATCCTATCACCACTGTCATCTCATTCATTCATTCATCTGTTCATTCCACTTATATCTGCCAACACTGTCATGGACGCTGCTGGTGTCTGTCTACATCCTTCGAGCTTCACCACTTGGATGCACTTCAACCAGCTTCATCTGCTGGTACCCCTACCTCTTCTACCTGTGGGATTTCTCCAAAGTCACTCTGCGTTTGCTCGCAGACAGAGGGAGAGATAAAGTGCTAAGGCTCCTTAGGAGCAGTCTCCCCATGACTGAATTTACCTATAAATGCCTTGGCACTGTCACTCGTGGGGTGGATAATACTCGGGCACATCTTCTACACCATTTTCCAGTGTTCCCATGAGACTGAGTTCCAGCAGCCCACAGCTTTGGTTTATCTGATGACACACACTTTTGTAGGCTGCCTTCCTTTCCCTGTATGCCTCCCCAACCCTTTCTCAACGTTTTCTGCACCTCCCTTCCCGATGAACCACCTCCACTAGAATCCTTGTCTCAGAGTCCACTTTACACCTATTATGTGCCAGGTGCTGTGGCAGGGCTTCATGGATTGGATAACCATCAGATTATAAGACTCCAGACACCAGTGACAGGCTGATGGGGAGATATTTGACAATCTATTCTAACAACTTTATAAAGTTAGTGTGAGGTTTACACTTGTGAACCACTTAAAACTGATTGGCAGAGAGAGCAGTGAAGTAACTATTAGTTATTATATTTGTTATTCTGCCGAACCGAGTCACTGGGTGCTTGTGCTGTGCTTAATCACTCAGTTGTGTCCAACTCTTTGCGGCTGTATGGACTGTAGCCCGCTAAACTCGTCTGTCCATGAGGATTCTCCAGGTAAGAATACTGTAGAAGGTTGCCATGCCCTCCTCCAGGGGATCTTCCCAACCCAGGCATCAAACCCAGGTCTCTCGAATTGCAGGTGGATTCTTTACCATCTGAGCCACTAGGTGTTTAGCAGGTAAATGGTGTTCAATTATTATATATTAAAATTATATGTTGTTAAAATATAAATCCCCACATAAAGGTGGTGCTCTTGGGCTATTAGGCGCCATCCACACTTCAGAGGGAATAGATTTGTCAGAGAAACTTTAGTCACTTTTCTAGACCTTGAAGGAATGAGGCAAAGTGCTTTAAAGGTGGTGGGGATGGGGTGGGGAGGGAGAGCCAAGTGATGGAGCAGCAGAGAGGGTGACCGTGGTACAGTCCCACGGGGCCTTTGGGCAGGCAGAGACAAGCCTGGGGCTCTGGGTGACACAGGCCTGGGCAGGTGAATCCAGGCTCCTCTGAGCCCAAGGCCCTAAAGAGAGAAATGGCAGAACCAAGATTTGAACGTAGGTCCTGTTCATTCATTTATTGTCTTGATACACTTTTTCAACACTCATTGATTTAAATTGGCATTTCAAATGTCGTCAGAGGACTCCCGGTGAGAACATTTGGAAATCAATGTGCAATAAGGGCTTCGAAGGTGGTGCAGTGGTAAAGAATCCGCTTGCTAATGCAAGCAGATGCAAGAGCTGCAGGAGAACTGGGTTCGGTCCCTGGATTGGGAGAATCCCCTGGAGGAGAGCATGGCAACCCACTCCAGTATCCTTGCCTGGAGAACCCCATGGACAGCAGAGCCTGGTGGGCTACAGTCCATGGGGTCACAAGCAGCTGGACACGACTGAGTGACTGAGCACACACGCCCACTGTGCAATAAAATACCCTGAGTGCTTTGGTAGAATGTGTGTGTGGGTCAGAATCAAGGCTCCTTCTACCCAGGTCAGGAGGAGGGAGGCCTGACTGGAATTTGGACGGGGGCTGACTCCACAGCCCATTCCATCTGCCTCGCCCCTCGGCCTCCCTAGTGCTGGGTGTGGACAGGTGGCTTCATTTCTCCGAACTTCACTGGGGTTTTCCAGCTGTAATGTGGGGGAATCCTGCCCCCCATCTTTCAGGCTGTTTTGGGCACTGCAGGAGACGCCGCGGGGGAGAGCAGATCTACAAAATGCCAGCTTCCTTCCATCTTTCCTCCAGCTTGAAAGGATCTAGATGCAAAGAGACAAACCCCTCCTCAACATAAGGACCAACAGACTGGTTAGCAAACAGTTCAAAGAGCAGCAGTTGCTTCCCTGGGCCTCAGGGAGCCTTGCTGCCGGGGCCATGGGCAGGAAGGAGGGCTGAGCTCTAGATTCAGCCGTGGTGGCTGTGGCGGTTTAGTCGCTAAGTCATGTCCCACTCATGCGACCCCATGGACTGTAGCCCACTAGGCTCAGATGGCCTGGGTCCAGATCTTTGCTTCACTTTGTACCGAGTCTCTGATCTCAGGCAGGTTCCTGGATTCTGTGAGCTTCAGTGACTTCATCATGCAACGTGAGTGAAAATATTAATAGCTCTCACCTCCTTGTGTTGTTATAAAAATGAGATGAGATGATTTGAGCGCCTGGCACATCGTAAGCACTTAATAGACATAGTTCTTTAGAAAGGGTTTCTGGCAGAAGGAGAACTCAGCTGCCAAGTTTCCTAGCTTTGTATCTTGACGACCATGATTCAACTGTCTCTCAGAGGAGTGGGGTGAGGGCTGGACGTTAATGTTTTAAATTTAGGGAATTCTGTGTTTTGACTCATTGGCTGAAAATATTGGCGAAGCCCTGCACATACACCCAAGATGCTCTCTACACGCTGCAGGCAAGCTCACCTGTGAGTCTCTGCCCAAGAGGATGGAGAGAATCTTACCTTCCTGGCAGGCTGGACGTGCTCATGTTGGGCTATGATTCTGGGGCATTTTTACAATGAACTCAATCTGTTCCCAGGGTTGAGGCCTAGCTGCCTGTGGTGTTAGCTAGCTGGACACACACCCTCTCTCAGCCTCTTTCCCTTCTCTACCTCCTCCTCCTGCTTTCCCCTGCCAGGACATCCTAGGAGTGCTCCCTCAGTGAATTAATTGGTCTGAAATCCTTCCTTTTGAAGCCATTTCTGTGCGCGTGTGCGTATGTGTGCTCAGTCATGTCTGACTCTTTGTGACTCTATGGAGGGTAGCCCCGCCAGGCTCCTCTGTCTGTGGGATTTTCCAGGCAGGAATACTGGAGCAGATTGCTCTTTCCGGCTCCAGGGGAATCTTCCTGACTCAGGGATCGAACCCACATCTCTTGTGTCTCCTGCATTGGCAAAGGGATTCTTTACCACTCCACCATCTGGGAAGCTGGAGCCATTTCTGGGGGCACCCAAACTGAGACATTCATTGACAGACTCCTTAACACAAGTTAAACACAGGCCAAATGAAGTACAAGGTCATACCTGCGTGCAATCATGACCGTCTAGACAGCCAGCTCAGGTCCAAGCAAACTTCTGCTTGCTGGGATTATTTGAGTTGGCTTGCCCAGGCAGCCCTGGACTCTTTCCAAAATTCCTCCAGCCCCCGCTTTCCTTTGGTCTTGGAAACTTAACCTCTGAAGCTGGCAGGCCTCAGATGAGAACAGCACAGGATTTCATGAACGGCAACCATGGGCCGCTGCTGTAAGTAGCTCAGGATGGAAACACAGCTTTCCTCTTGTGTGTGAGCTCCCACCTCTTCTGAACCCAGAGATGAGAATTAAACTATTATTTCTCTGGAAGCAATGCCACTGTCAAAGGTGAGATATTAACACAGTGTTGCAGAGGGCAAGTTGTCACCACTCATAAATGCTCTTAGCAGACCTGCCATTCACATCTGGGCTCCTAAGTTACTCTCATGACTCTATTTAGCAGAGCTGGTGTGATTCACACACAGAAAAGGGGGCCCAGGATGTTAGAAGAACAATGCCAGCTAAACAGACGGCAAGCACTAAACAAATCCCACATACAAAGGTGGGGAACCAATCTCAAGTTCAATAACACGAGCCCTTTCTCTCTTTTCTAAATTCCATTTAGAAGAGAAGAAAGTTTACAAGAACTCGAACTTGTAGATCCAGAAGGGAAAGGGCAAGATTCCAAAAGCAGATGGAAACCGACGAGACAGTAATTAACGGTGAGCATTTATTGAGGGCGTCACGTGGGTTAAGTGTTGAGCTAAGTAAGCAATTACACACAATCGTACTTAGCCTCTCCTTCTTTCTCTCTCTCCCTCTGCTTTGTATATTGTTTCTAGTGTACTCCTGAGGAAATTGAGGTTTGGAGAGAACAGTATCACTGGGCTACCAAGTATGAAAAATGAGACTTAGCCCAGGTTTTTATCTGACCTCTTATGGGCTCCCTGGTGGTAAAGAATTTACCTGTCAATGCAGGAGACGCAGATTCTTTCCCTGGATTGTGAAGATCCCCTGGAGGAGGGCACAGCCACCAACTCCAGTATTCTTGCCTAGAGAATCCCATGGACATAGGAGCCTGGCAGGCTACAGTTCATGGGACTTCGAAGAGTCAGACACGACTAAAGTGACTTAGTACTCAATGCACACAGGATTTATTCATTCACCCTTTATTGAGCTTCTGCTATGCACCAGGCATTCTTCTTGTTCTAAGCACTGGGGAGAAAGTGCCCCTGTCCAAAAGAAAGACAAAGATCTTGCTCCGACTGAGGTTTTTTTTTATCAATATTTATTTTTTTAATTTAATTAAAAAATTTTTCATTTTGAATTGGGGTGTAGCAGATTAGCAAACAAAGTTGTGATGGTTTCAGGTGAACGTGAAGGGACTCAGCTGTACATATGCACATATCCACCTTCTCGTGCTGAGGCTTCTTTTTGATAAGGGAGATCCCAGTAAACAAATAGTGTGTGGGATTTCAGATTACAATAAATGCTGAGAAGAAAAATAGATAGAATGAGGACACAGGGAGACAGTGGCCCTGTGTTGAACAGGGTGGCCAGGGAAAGACTCACAATAAGGTAAAAAGTAAAAAGGAGCCCGAAGGAAGTGAGGAAGAGAGGCAGCTGGGTACTTGGGGGTAAAGTTCCCAGGAAGAAGAAAGAGCCAGTGTTGAAGACCCTGGCGTGGGAATGAGTTTGGCACATTTAAGTAGCAAGAATGGGGCTGTGAGGGCTGGGTGGAGAAGTCAGCTGTCGAGAGGTAGGAAATGGAGTTGGAGAGTTAGCTGGGCACAGTCCTGATGCTGGGAAAGATTGAGGGCAGGAGGCAAAGCAGGTAGCAGAGGATGAGTTAGGTTAGATAGCATCACTGACTCAGTGGACATGAATTTGAGCAAACTCTGGGAAGTGGTGAAGGACAGGATAGCCTGGCATGCTGGTGGTAGTCTATGGGGTCGCAAGAGTGGGACATGACTTAGCGACTGAACAACCGCCACAATGATCATAGAAGACTTGCAAACCTAGGTGGCACTGGAGGGCTGGAGAGAAGGGGGGACAGGATCTTACTTACATGTAAAAGTAAGGGGAACGTAACATAGAACATCAAGGAGGCAGTAGGGAGATCCAAAGGCCGGTCATAGCTGGGTGACCTGAACCAGGATGGGAGCAATGAAAGAGAAGCAGTCAGCTGTGGGGTGACACTGACAGAATTTGCTGATAGATCAAGTGCAGGGTGAGACCAAAAGCAGGCCAAGGCTCATGGCCTAAGAAGCTAGCAAAATTAAGTGCCATTTATGGAGATGCAGAATCCTGGGGAGAGGGGCAGGTTTGGGAGAGAAGGAGAGGAGTTTGGTTCTGAACAGTATTCAGCAGCAACATGGTATAATTCATGGGGTTTAGGAGTCTAGAGTCAGGAGGAGCGGTCTGGGCTGGAGGCATATGTAGCTGAGTCATCACATAGAGGTGGTGTTAGAGTTGTGACCTTGGATGAGCTCAGGTAGGGAACAGAGGTGTGCAGAGGACAAGACTGGGGCTCTGGGCAGCTTGGCATTTAGTGATAGGAGAGAAGGGGAGAAGCCAGCAAGGGAGGTTCAAAGGAGCAACCAGCGAGATGGAAGGATTGAGGACGTGTCATGCCAGTGCTGCTGACAGGGCAAGAAAGATGGAATGAGGACTGACCACTGGATGTGGCAACGTGAAGGTGACTTTTCTAAGAATGGCTTCAGAGGACTGGGCAAGTGGTAGAGAAGGTTGGGTGTGTCGGTCTCTGAAACCCTAGATCCCCCCTCCAACCAGAGTTTGTATACACACACACACATACACACATACACGCACAGTCACCATCTGAAGAAATACAGAGGAAAATATTTTAAAGTAATTATCTTTGTTTTTTGATTCAATATTTCTTTTTATGAATCCATGACTTTTTCCCTAGTTAGTCAAAAACATTCAAACTGCTTTATGGAATATTGAGAAGGTTATTGTCATTGTTGTTTAGTTGCTCAGTTGTGTCCAACTCTTTTGCAACACCATGAACTGTAGCTGGCCAGGCTTCTATGTCCATGGAATTCTCCAGGCAAGAGTACTGGAGTGAGTTGCCATTTCCTTCTCCAGGGGATCTTCCCAATCCAGGGATTGAACCAGGGTCTCCTGCTCATCTCCTGCATTCCAGGCGATTCTTTCACAGCTGAGTCACTGGGGAAGCCCATTGAGAAGGCTATAGAATAAATTTAAAAATTAGAACAATTGTCAATTTTCAGTTTGACTTTAGGATGTCAACGCCCATGTCCAAAATATTAATTCAGGAAGTCAAAGCTTTTGCTTTGTGAAGCCACATTTTACTAAAAGAAAAAAAAGATTCTTAATAATTAGGACATTGAGAGCAAAATGGAGACTTGATCCGAGGACATGAGTGGTAAAGGCTGGAGGAAGCCCCAGAGCCCTCATCCCACCATCCCTGGAGGACCAGCTGAGGGTCAGATGGGTTACAGTAGAGCTAAGGGAAGAGGATTGAGCATGATTTTCAAGGATGACGTCCAAGTGTTAGACTAGAGGACCACATCTTGACAGAGAAGGTAGAAAACATATAAGACTAGAGATCAATATCCAAAGAATGGCCAGCACCAAGGAGCTTCATGGGGGCCAATCAGAGCCTGAGGACCAAAATACCTCCCTCTCATGGGCAACGTGACCCACCATCACATGGAAGAAACCCCATGGATTCCTCTTCACACTACTGTTTGCTGGGGTCCTTCTACCATCTATCTGGCCATTTCTGCTGGATTTTCCAGCTGAAAAGATTCCTGCCCATGCCTGAAGATCTTTCTGAGTCCCATCCTTACTTCCTCACATGGACATCCCATGACTGAATGACCTAGGGCACTTGCAAATCTCCTGAAACACAGCATGGAGACAAGTGGCTGCCCTAGACACCCAACAGGACCGTGGAAGTGCAGATGGAAAACACTCCAGCACTAGGATTGGGTTGGGCTGCACAGTGATGAGACCCAGCCCAGTTACATAAGAGTTCATTTGGAAAAGGTTTCTACTCTTAAAAATGTTTGGAAGACTTCTGGCTTATCTTCAACAAGTAAGGGGCTTAGAAATCAGCACTATGATCATTACAACAAAAGAAAAGAAAAAGGTGAATTAATTGAAAACCAATGACTTTTCTTAGACTTATCAAACAGTTGAGCTTTCAGGGGTAACCACCACCCTAATATCTGGAGGTTCAGAGAGAAACCCAAACCAGGCTACCACAGGGACACAAAGAAAGGACAACAGAGGAATTTGAAGCTTTTGGCACAGAAATGCCTAGCAAACACTGCACACAGACCAACGTGTAGCCAGATTAACATGAATCCTCACACTTTAGTGAGGATTTAGGTCCGTGTGCCTCAGCTCCTAATACCTGGTACATCATACCCAGCTCTCTAGAAAAAATTACAAACCATGCTAAAAGGCAAGGAAAAACATAGTCTGAAGGGTCAAAGTGAGCATTGAAACCAGACCAAAATGAAACCCAGATTGGGGGATTATCAGGCAGATCAAGGTCAACATCAACAACAGTAAAATAATATTGATAGTGTGTCCCCTTGACACAAAGTGATGAAAATAGTGCTTTATTCTGTGGTCTCCCTCCCGCCACCAAAACTTGTTGCTCCAGTCTAACCTGAGAAAGACGTTGTATATAATCACAGTGAAGAACGTTCTACAAAATACTTTACAAAATCCTCTTCAAGACTGTCAAGGTCATCCAAAAGAGGAAAGGTCTGAGAAACTCTCACAGTCAGGAGGAAGCTAAAGAGACTTGCCTATTAAATATGATATGGATCCTGGATGGGATCTTGGGACCAAAAAAGGTAAAAACTGAGGGAATTTGGGGTTTCCCCGATGGTTCTGCAGGTAAAGAGTCCACCTGCAATGCAGGAGACCCAGGAGATGAGGGTTTGATCCCTGGGATGGGAAGATCCCTTGGAAGAGAAAATGGCAACCCACTCCAGTATTCTTGCCTGAAAAGTCCCATGGCCAGAGGAGCCTGGCATAACTGAGCATGCACACACACACATGGGAATTTGAGTAAAGACTGAACTATGGTTAATAATTTATGAACAATGTACCATGCTAAAATAAGATGTTAAAAATAGGGCAAACTGGCTGTGTGGTATATGGGGACCCTCTATACCATTTATACAATTTTTATGTAAACCTAAACCTATTCTAAAAATAAGATTTAGGGAATTTCCTGTCAGTCCAGTGGTTAGGACTCAGCATGTTCACTTTCATGGCCCAGGGAACTAAGATCCCATAAGCCAGAGGTGGCCAAAATAATAATAATAATAATAATAATAATAATATTTTATTAAAGGCAAAAATGTTTGGCAATGCCTGGGTTAAGGATCTTCAACTCAGATTGTGTTATTAGTTGAGTTTAGTTTTGTTTTTCCCGTTCTGTCTAGGGCACCCAAGGGCCAGCTTATCTTTGAGCCACTCCAGAAAAACCCTGGGAGGAAAAAAGATTGTAGGATGTAGGCAGTGGTACGAGAGACAAAAAGACTGCCAAAGTTAAATTTCAGAAGGTGGAAAATTATGGCTGTTAGGAGCACAGCACTTACAGTTTACTAGCTGAGTGACCTTGGGTGGGTTATTTAACCTCTCTAGGTCCTAGTTTTTTCATCTGTAAGCTAGAGGTAAAAATAAGAGTACCATACATTGTTGTGTTAGTTTTTGTGATAAAGCAATTATATTCTAATAAAAATGTATATTAAAAATTAAAAAAGAAAGTACATGGGAAGCTTTATAATTCAATATGATTGGGACACACAATGGTTCACTTAATTAAAAAAGTACATCTTAGCAATGAATCATTAAAATGCATAAATAAAAATAATAGGAGCACCTCATTCATAAGACTGATATCAGAATTAAAAGAATTCGTATTTATAAGATACTTCCAACAGTGTCTGGAATGTGGTATGTGCTGTATATATCTATGTTAACTAAATAAAGGCAACTATCTGAAATTAGCAGCTCTGTGGAAACAGCAGGATCGGTGGCCAGTATATGGTAGTTTATGTGCTATGTGTTTTTCCATTGAAAAATGGCAAAAAAACCAACCAGTCCCCATGATTTTCCAGATCATTTATTTAACACTGAGCAAATTTTATAGTTTGGCGTTGTGTTTCCCACTTCTCGTGTATTAAACTCATTGACTTACCAATAGCTTACACTTACTGACATTTTCTTTTCTCTTTCTCTCTCGTGTTTTTTTTGACAATGAGGAATGTCTGCTGAGCGCATACTGAACATACCCAGACTTCCCCCTGAGCCTGAGTGGCTCTCAAATGCCCACGCTTCTCTGGTGAAGGCAGATCCTGGTGATGACCAGTGAGTCCACTAAAGGAAAGTACATTTTCAGCCTCATCCTGTTGCAAACCAGCAGTGGCCCTTTTGGAGGAAAGCTCATTTCCAGCTTCCTGTGTCCTTTCTTATTCTGTTTGAATCCCGTTTGCTTCTCTAATCGCAGGAACGAAGGGTCACGTCACACCCGTATGTAATCCAGGAAGTTGCCTGGATTACATTCTAACGGCATGTGGGGCTCAGGAAGTTGGGGGTGAGGAGGCGGGCAGGATAGGCCCGGCGTCTCTTTGTGACAAATCTGTTGGCTGTTGCTGTGTTCCCAACCATGAGCCTCAGCTGAATCTCTTCTGTTCTCCAGTCCCAAGTTATTTTCCTAAATTAATGGCTTAGTCTTGGTGTCTGGAAAGCAATTTGGTTGTTCGTTTGAGGTGGCTAAAGCTATCCAGAGGAAAAATAAAAAGTCACCATTAGGTAATGAAGCCAGACTATTGGGTGTCTCATATCCTGGCTCCAAATGCAGATAGAAAAGGGGAGCCCAGAAAGGATTTCAACAGCGGTAGCATTGTTGGAATAAGTGGCGGGTGCCCATGGGGACTTAGAGGCCAGCACCTATTTGAATGTGTGAGATCTGATATTTTAAAAAATCAGGGATGACTCTATTGTCACCCCTGGTATTTTTAATATGGCTGATGTGGGGAGTTGAGAGGCTCAATGTGGCCACATCCCAGTTAATTTCCTATCACAGTGTTATTTCCTGTTCTAGCTCTGGCTCAACAAATAGTCACAAATCCTAACAAATCCTATTCTTTTTTTTGAAGGAGTAATGGTGCTATTTTTAGCGAATGTTATGCAACCCAATGAGTGGCAAGATCCACTTGATTCTGCCTCCTCACTGCCACAGTATCTGCCCCTTTTACCTCCATCTCGCAGACCTGTTTCAGACTCTCTGCTATTTTTTCTTTGCTAATGCATTGGCCTTCCTTGTTGATCTCTCTGTGTTTAGTCTGAATCTGTTTCCAACTCAATCTATTCTTTATACTGCTTCCAAAAGTGAGATTTTAAAGATACAGTGGAAATAGGCACTGACATTTTAATTATGTAATTAATACTCTCTGACGCCTTTCAATGTATATGAAGATACTGATGTTGACAAGTTTCTTTTGATGAGTGATGTGATGGGAATGGAAGTGTTGAGATCAGTTGTTCTGCATGAGAAAGAGGAACCGAGTGACGCAGAGGAGGAGGGGAGCGTGAGGTTCCAAGAGTCAGAGGAAGTGAAAGGTCTTGAAGAAAACGTTTTCAGAGAGAGATGGGGATACTGCCGGCAGCCAGTGAGGGGCTGGGAGGAATCATGTACCCTTGAAAGTGACTCCTCTTGCAGTCTCACACATAAGACCTTCGGTTTTTTAAGAGATGTATAAATCTCTACCTGATAAAAACATAGCAAAAATCCCTACTTCTTCTTAGTGTTTTGTGGAGGGGATTATTCTTTGCGGGGAGTTTGTAGAAGCACTGAGTTACGCGACAAAAATGGCAAGAATCAAACAAACCCCAAACCAAGGAAGGATGTGGAGTCAGCCAATCTCCATAATGGGCAAGCCAGTCTCTCTGCTCCTCTGATGAAGTCTTCCATGGATCTGCATTCCCCATGGGGTGGTCATGAGGGCCTGGCACACTTTAGCATGGAATACAAGATCCTGCCTGATCTGGTCTTTACATACCTGTCCAGCTATGTCTTCTAAACAACAGTTCACACACACACACACACACACACACACACACCACAGAGCACTGGGCTGTAATTCTAGCAGACTGTCATGATGGTACACGCTGTTTCATTCTGTCTACAGTGCTTCTCCCCTGCCCTTGTTTAGCTGGAAAATGCCTCCTTCTCCTCTGTCAAGCAGACTTGGGAGCCCTCTCTTCTGGGCTCCAAATTTGTCTTGAAGATATGTACTTTTATTATATCATCACACTGTTTTATAGCTGTGTATTTGCATACCTGTCTCCCTGACATGACCATAAGCTCCTTAGATCCAGGTTTAGTCGTATCTCTGTAAAGGATTTCTAGCACCCAGAAATGGGCTAGTCTTATGTGTGATAAATGCTTACGTTCTATGGCTTGTAAGTGTTCTACAGGGAAGGTACCATAACTAGCTGATCAGAGAGGAAGAAAAATTGTCATTGTTCTCTAAAGCTTTCACAATATGTGTCACTTTTGTGTTCATAAAGCCTGTTATTATGGTGATCCTCAATCAACCATGACTCTCAGCATTCAAGTCTTTCCAACAATGACTCTGGGCTTAGCCATGTGACTAGCTTTGGTCTGTAGAGAATTGGCATGCATGATGTAAAAGTGGCTGCTTGGTAAGTATTTGCAGGTTGGGTTTGCCGACTGGGAATGCTCTTGGTAACTGGGTGTCATATTATGAGGAAGCTCAAGCAGCCATATGGAGAGGCCCATGTAAAGAGGAACTGGAGCTCCTGGATGATGGTCTCAGCTGAGCACCCAGCTAGTGACCATCACCCACTGAATGAGACATCTAGACCTCCCAGGCCCCCTCACCCCAAGTACCCCAGCCATTGCTACATGGGGCAGAAGAACTATTAATTGTGAGAAGTAGAATTGCTGTTGTTTTAAGACACTAAGTTTTTCAATGCTAGTTATTGCATATAATTATATTGTAACTGTATTATAATGTGATTATAATTATATATTATAATATGTAGTCTTTTGTGATTTGCTTCATTCATGCTGTGGCATGTTTTCAAAGTTCATTCATACTGTAGCATGTTTTTAAGTTCATTCATCTATAGCATGCACCAGTACTACATTTCTTTCTATGATTAAGTAATATTCCAATGGGCTTCCCAAGCTGCATGAGTGGCGAAAAATCTGCCTGCCAATGCAGGAGATTGAAGAGACATTTTTGGATCTGTGAGTCAGGAAAATCCCCTGGAGTAGGAAATGACAACCACTCCAGTATTCTTGCCCGGGAAAACCCATGGACAGAGGAGCCTGGTGGGTTACAGTCCTTGGGATCCCAAAGAATCGGACACAGCTGAGCACACACACAATATTCCATTGTGTGGATATACCACACTTCATTTTTCAGTTGATGGCATCTGTATTGTTTCTACTTTTTTGGCTATTATGAATCATGTTGCTATCAACAATTGTATACAAGATTTTGTGTTTGCATATGTTTTTATTTCCTTTGAGACTGTGAGTAGGTACTAGGAATGGAACTGTTGGGTCGAATAATAACTCCAAGTTGGCCGCATCACTTCACATTCCCACCAGCAACATCATCCTCTTTTTACCGATAAAGAAACTCATATTACAGGAAAGTGAGAGTGGTATTCTGTGATGATTCTGCTTTTAAAAGACCACCCAAGAAGAAATGACATTGGGAAAAGAGCATTTGAAAGCATCAGGAGAAGGAGAAGCCATCATCCTAAAACTGGTAGAAAGAAAGAAGGTCAGTATGAAAATAATCACAGGCAGCAGAATGGTAAATTACAGTAATTATTGAAGAGAGGTTTTTAGGAAGATGTGTGGTGATTCTTAGAAGTTTCACTGAGAAAGGTGCTGGAAGATAACCAGATTGCAATGGGTGATGGGTTAAGAATGTGCAAGCAGCATGTTTTCGGAATTCAGCTATGATGGAAGAAAAAAGAGGAGAGATCACCTTTAGAATGAAGGGGACTTGAACGCATCTAGAGACAAGAAGCCAGCGTGATTAAGATGCAGATACAGCTGAGATGTGGTGAAGCAACCCTGAGGAGAACACAGGATCAGAAGGGAAACCTAGTTTTCTATGAGCAGGGATGGAAGAAGAGAAGCGTGGGTACAAATGAGAGTGATCTGGGGGGGGCGGGGTGTTCAGGCCTGATGACCTCTTCTAGAATGTTCTATGTTGATAGGCTCAGAAGTCCTAAGAAAATACTAGGACTTAAGCTGTGTTCCTTCTCTCCCCTCTTTCCCCTTTCCCTCCTTCCTTAGCATACCACCTGCAGTGGAAGTTGAACACTAGGCAAGCCTGTCCCCTTGTCCTTGCAGCAGTTTTCAATGCAGATGATACCAAGACACTAACAGCATTCAGTCTTTTTTTTTTTTTTTCCACTAAACTATAGACTTTATTTGGATTTTACCAGTTTTTCCACTTTATGTCCTTTTACTCCATGACCCAGTCTGGGATCCCATGTTGCCTTTAGTTCTTCATTCTTTTTTAAGCTGCATATTATGTGTGTGGATGAACTATAGATAATCCAGCCACTCTTCTAGGCTTTAACATTTATTTTCAATATTTTGCAGTTATCAATAATGTTCCACATACATATAATATTATATTTATTTCTTCCAGTACTGTTTTTTATTGGAGTATAGTTGCTTTACACTGCAGTGTCTTTTAGCCTATTCCGCCTTTCAAGGATGATTTTAGTCTTGAGTCAAATGCACAGAGTTCAAAGTGAGTTTTCCGGGGGCTTTCTGGGATTCTGAGTATTCTTTACAACATTCATGAAAACTAGTTTTTCAGAGGATGCCAGTAAATGCTGATTCCTGAGGTATCAGCTTAAAGGACTCTTCTGAGCTGCCATTAATCAGGCTTGTTCCTTAGTATATTTATTACATATTACATTTTTCCTTCATAGCCCCCCAAAGCCTTCCTAATTGAAAAGCCAGGAAATAGTTGTTTCTTAAAAGCGGAAGTGATAGCACTTACTTACAGTAAGTCTCTGCCATTCCAGTTAAGAGCACTGATTTATAAAACCTGCTGGGGTTTTCCTCGCAGAGAAAGGAAAAACCCCATTGCATGTTCTAGCAGCAAGTTCACCGCAGCCCCTGCTGATATCAGAGGCATTTTAATAAAATCCAGCATAGAAACGCAGGTTTTGTTACACTGACTTCAACTGATAATTAGCTGCAAAAGTTTGACAATCTCAGGAAAAAATGATCAGCATGGCGACATGTGGTTTCGAATCTAGATTACAAATTCTGAGGGTGGGGAGGGGTGGGGAAGTCTGTGCTTTCAAGTAAAATGAGAGCCTGTGCTGTGGAATGCTGGGACAGCTCCTCGGCCCCGGCAGCTGAAACCATTTAGGCTGGCCTGAATTTTCCCTCTGCAGAAAATGATGGCCTAAACTGGGGTTCCCCTACAGTTCTGAAGGCCCCCCAAGTTCAGGGACAAGAAAAGGGACCTTTGCATGAGTAATTTCCTCCATTTGATGGCCCTTGCTTGCATCCAAGGAGACTTCTGCTGCTGTCCTTGGGTTGCTTTGTTTTCTTTTCATTGCCACTGATGCAAGAGGTAAGATGGGTGTTTTTACCCAAAGTTAAGGAATTTTTAAACCAGCTTTAAAAGCTCAATGTTTAAAACTCAACTTTTTAAAGCTGGCTTAAAACTCAACATTCAGAAGACGAAGATCATGGCATCTGGTCCCATCTCTTCATGGCCAATAGATGGGGAAATAATGGAAATAGTGAGATTTTATTTTCTTGGGCTCCAAAATCACTGCTGATGGTGACTGCAGCCACAGAATTAAAAGATGCCTGCTCCTTGGGAGAAAAGCTATGATGAACCTAGATAGTGCATTAAAAAGCAGAGACATTCCCTTGCTGACAAAGGCCTGTATAGTCAAAGCTATGTTTTTTCCATACTGGCTATGGGTATCTGACCATACCCAGTGGATAGGTAGAGTTTAAGAATCAGTAGCCCCATTCCGGAGAAGGCAATGGCAACCCACTCTGGAACTCTTGCCTAGAAACTCCCAGGGACGGAGGAGCCTGGTGAGCTGCCGTCTATGGGGTCTCACAGAGTCGGACACGACTGAAGCGACTTAGCAGCAGCAGCAGCCCCATTTCATTGCAAGGACTGATGCTGAAGCTGAAGTGCCAAAACTTTGGCCAACTGATGAGGAGAACTGACTCATTGGAAAACACTCTGATGCTGGTAAAGACTGAAGGCAGAAGGAGAAGGGGACGACAGGGGATGAGATGGTTGAATAGCATCACCAACTCAATGGACATGAGTTTGAGCAAGCTCCAGGAGAGGGGAAGCCTGGCATGCTGCAGTTCATGGGGTCACAAAGAGTCGAATGCTACTGAACAACAAGAAGCCCCATTTTGTGTGTGCTTTTAAAGATGAAGGGCCAACAGAATGGCTTGAGTATCTGTTGGGCAGCAGGGAATCTAATGTGAAAAACACACCTAACATAGTTAGTGAAACAGTGGATTAAATCCATTTCACCTGCCTTCACTAATCGAGGTTGTTTTAAGACTTTCACATCCTCCAAACGGTACTTCACCTCAACAAGAAGATATTTGCCCAAGTTGTCTTCTAGGGACTTGGAGTCAGCTGAGCCAGTTTGAGCTGAGCCAGTTAAAAGTGGATAGTTAAGACTGGATAGGACAACCAACCCTTGGGCATGCGTGAGTGTCCCTTGGATGACCTCTGGAAACAGGAAGACCATGAAGTCCACCCTCAGAAGGTGCAGAGAGCTGTAGCTGAGTTACACCCACCCAGAACTATGATCGGGGCGCCTCTTTCCAATCACCTTTCCCCATGCTCCCCATGTCTCAGGCCACCCTGCTTCTTTATTCATTATCCAAGAAATACCTGAATCCCTTGCCTTCTCAGAGGTGGATCTGAGATTTAGTTCTCCCATTTCCTTGCCCGGCTGCCTTTCAAATAAGACCACTTTCTCTCTTCCTTTTTTTTAAAGAAAACATTTTTAATCTTCCAGTACAGTGCCTTTAAAAGTGCAGTGGTACAGTATAATAGCTGGCATGCAGGGGCTGGAATCCAGTGAACGGGTGAGAAGAGTTACTGACTACAGGTGGGAGATGGGAGAGCTGAAGGATGGTCAGCAAGCTGCAATTTCATCATGCCTGAGGTGGATGGCACAGGTTCTAGTTTCTTGCTGGATTAATTCTATCTACCCTCTTGAAAAAATGATCCAGTGACATCTGGGTAGTAGCTCTTTTTCTTTTTATTAATTTGAGTCATGGATGATGCGGTCATACTGGATTGCATTCTGAATGGCTGCTGCAACCTTCCTGTACCATTCTATGTTCAGGTCCTCTCTGCTGCAAGCCTGGCGTCTCAGCGTGTTTTGCTCACTGTGCCTGCCATGGGGCAAAACAAACCTGGTGATCTGGGGCCTCTGCTGAGTTCCCGAGCTCTTACCAGTATCTCCCTGCCTAGCTCTTCCTTTCTAACCACCACCACCAACTCACCTTTTCCCTTGAGTTTTTCAAAGTCCCATCCATACTAGAAAATGCTGTATAGTATAATTTTAGGGAATATTTGGAGGTGATGCCCAAGAGTAAGGACTATATTGCTGGAAGCAATATAAAATTGCAGCTCTTTTCAAAATTCCCCTAGCCAGCATATTCCTGCTAGCTCAGATGATGTGTGAATTAGAAAAACAAGCTTGTTTTCCTTGAGATTTTTACTACCATCTTCTGAGGAATTATTTTATAACTATATGAACTGGAGGTTGATAACCTCTTCCTAAAGTCATGCAGTCACAACTGGAAGCAGCAGTAATTTCTGCAGTTGGGAGCTTCTCTATGGACTCTTCTCAGAGCCTTATCTTTCTGCATCTTTCTGCCTCATTCTCTTTCTTCCCT